TGGGGGTTAGGGGGTACTGACCCTCCACATGAGTTAAGAATCTGCGTATAACTTTTAGAGACATGGCCCAGGCTGCGGGGCAGTGGCACAGTCTCGGCTCACCGCAGCCACCACGTCCAGCTAATTCTTTTGTTGTTGTTAGTAGAGACGGGGTTTGGCCATGTTGCCCTGGTTGGTCTCAAACTCCTGGCCTCAAGCGATCCTCACGCCTTGACCTCCCAAAGAGCTAGAATTACAGGTGTGAGGCACTGCACCTGGCCCATGTATAACTTCTGACTCCCCAAAAACTGACTATGGATGGCCTGTTGACCGGAAGATGTATCCATAATGTAAACACAGAAGCCGACTGAAACACATTTTGTATATTACATACTATAATCTTAAAATAAAGCTAGAGAAAACGTTATTAAGAAAATTGTGGCTGGGCGCAGTGGCTCATGCCTGTAATCCCAGCACTTTGGGAGGCCAAGATGGGTGGATCACTTGAGGTCAGGAGTTCGAGACCAGCCTGGCTAACATGGTGAAACTCCGTATCTACCAAAAATACAAAAATTAGCTGGGCATGGTGGTGTGTTCCTATAATCCTACCTACTTGGGAAGCTGAACTGCTGGAACCTGGAAGGCAGAGGTTGCAGTGAACCTACAGCACACCACTGCACTCCAGCCTGGGTGACAGAGCGAGACTTTCTCAAAAGAAAAAAAAAAAAGAAGAAAATCATAAGGAAGAGAAAATATATCTACCAGTCACTGAGTGGAAGAGGATGGACCATCACAAAGGTCTTCATCCCTGTCCTCTTCACACAGAGCAGGCTGAGAAGGAGAAGAGAAGGGACTGGTCTTGCTGCCAGGTGTGGAAGACATGGAGGAGGTGGAAGGGGAGGCAGAAGAGACAGGCACATTCAGTGTGACCTCAGGGAAGTACACTGTGATTTCTGTCTGCTTTCCTTTTCAGCTTCTCTAAAAGTGTTTCTGTCAGGACGGATCCTCCTTCCACCGTTTCCTCTAGTTTCAGTGCACATCACAGCAGAGTCTATGTCAGAAAAGCAGTCAAATGCAGTCTTGAAGAATCAGGACCTTCTGCCACACCGTCGGATGTACACGTGCTCTCCTGGCACTGCCTCTTTTACATCTTCTTCCTCATCAGCCGGCACTGGGTTGGAAGCTCTCATGTCCATCAGGTCGCCCATAGTTCCCTCCTCTGGAGTGGTGACTATCAGCTCTTGAATTTCTCAAGACCCACACCCCGCACCCTTCACCTCCCACCTTGGTTTGCCAATCCACCATCTCTCATGATTTCCCTGACTGCTCTGCCGTACATTCTGTGAAGTCAGACACAGCACCTGGACACCATTTTCTCCAGCAGGAGTTTGTTTCAGGCTCGGTGGCTCTCATGGTCTTTTCTGTAGCAATGACAGTGTCTTCAACAGTAAAATCCTTACAGATTTTCAAGATGTTCTCTCTCAGTTCTCTTCCACAGCATCCAGTCCTTTCCACTGAATACGTTGCACAATGAGGCTTAAAGGTCCTATCTCTCTGATCTAGAGGCTGAAAAGATGCCGTGTTTGGGGTCAAGCAGACCACGTCAACACCACCAGTGTTAACTCAAGAGGTTCCGGGTGGCCCGGGTCATGGTCCAATAGCCACAGAACTCTAAAAGGCAGTCCCTTCCCGGCCAGGTACCTCCTGACTTCAGAGACAAAGCCCGGACGGAACCACAGTAGAGTTCTCACCGCCCAGGCCTTCTCATACAATCAAGGACTGGCAGCTGCCGTTTTTGTCTCCCTTCAGGATTTGGGCTTAGCAGCTTTACAGATAGGGCGGTCCTGACCATAAACCTGACTGCATTTGTTCAGAACAGCAGGCTTAGCCTGTCCCTTCCTACCTTAAACTCTGGGGCTTCTCTTCTTTATGGCATTTTTTTCCACAATAGGGCACTTTCATCTGCATTAAAAACTCATTTAAGCAGACATCTTCTCCCCTTGATAATTTTCTTTTTATAATGTTTTATGTTTTGTAGAGATGTCGGGGTTGCGGGGGGCGGTTCTTGCTATGTTGCCCAGGCTGGTCTTGAACTCCTGGCCTCAAGCAATCCTCCAGCCTTAGGCTCTGAAAGTGCTAAGACTGCAGGCATGAGCCAGCGCACGTGGCCTCTCGGTGATGACGTTCTCAGTGGCGCCGAGGAACTCACCTGCGGCGTCTTGGTCAGCTGAAGCTACTCCTCCCGTTATCCCAGCATTTTCTGAAGCCAAATCCCTTTCTATAGCGATCAAGTCATCTTTTGTTGGCATTACGTTCTCCAGCTTCAGAGCCTCCACTTCCTTCTGCTCTGTCGTATGACTTTGCTTTCTCTCCCGTCGCATCAGAGTCTGTATGTATGCTTCTCGTGTAGCAATCTTGCCACCACAAAAAAGCTGCATTCTAAACATGAGATAAAAAGTTACCTTGCAAAAAGTGCAAGGTTTTCCTGCCTGCTGGTGTAGCTGCAGTGACAGTGCCACACATTTCTCTCCTTCTCTCTCTTTCCTCTTTTTATGATAGTCCTTACACTGGATTCATTTTCCCTGAAACGGTGGGTAACTGCAGCTGCAGACTGAAATCTACAGTACACATCAAGGAATTGAGCCTTTCCTTGTGATGCCATGGCTTCTCTCTGCTTCTTGGGAGCACTTCCAGCATCACTAGTGGCACTGTGTCTGGGGCCCATGGTGCTTCTCGAGGTTCACAGTATTGCCCCAAACACACTGACAAACACCAGTGATCACGTTCACTGGGCTGTGCAACGGACGGGAGGAATGAGCTGCTGCCATGGAGCGCGCAGCGCCGGGCGGCGTTTTAAATGGACGCTTGCAACACTTGGGCTCGCTGCAGCGGCAACGGGCGGTGACTGGGAAATTACGACAGTTAGTCACATGAATCGTGATTTCATATTGCATCTTCGCGTCTGCATTTTTCTTCACAGAGAATCACACCACATACAGTCTGGCTCTAAGTTTTGATAGATTTCAGCTTTTTATGATAGATTTGCACAGTCATGGTAGTAAATGGTAACACAGACTAGTGTGTACATATATTTAATGAATTCATGACATATCTAAGTTTTTCTGATTGGTTTCAATATTTCTAGGCTGTGTAGTTCATCTGAAGCTTTTTCAAATTGTTGCAAATTTCCAAAAAATTGTCCAATGTATTTATTGAAAAAAATTAGCCTCTCGCTCACCGAGCTCCAGCTGAAGGAGAAGGGGGTAAGTAAGGAGGTCTCTATACCATGGCTCGTACAAAGCGGACTGCCCGCACATCTACCGGTGCTAAAGCACCCAGGAAGCAACTGGCTACAAAAGCCGCTCGCAAGAGTGCGCCCTCTACTGGAGGGGTGAAGAAACCTCATCGTTACAGGCCTGGTACTGTGGCACTCCGTGAAATTAGACGTTATCAGAAGTCCACTGAACCTCTGATTCGCAAACTTCCCTTCGAGCGTCTGGTGCGAGAAATTGCTCAGGACTTTAAAACAGATCTGCGCTTCCAGAGCGCAGCTATTGGTGCTTTGCAGGAGGCAAGTGAGGCCTATCTGGTTGGCCTTTTTGAAGACACCAACCTTGGTGCTATCCATGCCAAACGTGTAACAATTATGCCAAAAGACATCCAGCTAGCACGCCGCATACATGGAGAGCGTGCTTAAGAATCCACTATGATGGGAAACACTTCATTCTCAAAAAAAAAATTCTCTTCTTCCTGTTATTGGTAGTTCTGAACGTTAGATAATTTTTTTTCCATGGGGTCAAAAGGTACCTAAGTATATGATTGCGAGTGGAAAAATAGGGGACAGAAATCAGGTATTGGCGGTTTCTCCATTTTCATTGTGTGTGAATTTTTAATATAAATGCAGGGACGTAAAGCATTAATGCAGGTTAAAATGTTTCCGTGAACAAGTTTCAGCGGTTCAACTTCATAAGAATTATAAATAAACCTGCTAACGTTTTCTGGAAAGAAAAGAATTTGCATAAAAGTGGACCCACAAAGTTCAAAGTCATGTTGTTCAAGGGTCAGCTGTATTGTTTATGTTGCTGTTACCTACAATTCAATGAAACATTATTCAACCACTGAAAACGTGCTTCCAAATAACTATCAAAGACTTCAGGTAGTGCCCAGGGCGGGAGGTTAAACGAGCAGAAGCAGCCAGGGTCAAAGTTCTGTGTACACCATGGTCACAAAGGGATTTTTTTAAACTGTAAATGGGTACACACTTATTTCCCTAAATTAAAGAGGGTAATTATCTCTGGATAGGGGCATTAAGAAAAGTGAGACTGTGCAAGTCCTAGAAAAGACAAATGTGAAGACTAAAGAGGACTGGCCCAAAGACAGGAGAGAAATGACATGGGACTGCACGGTCTGCCCTCACATCTCCGTGTGCCCAGACGTGAGCTCGCTGGGGCACCTCACTTCTATGCTGGGCGCCTGGCTGCCTCTACTGATCACGGGGGTGCTCCAAGAAGCCTTCTCAAAGGCCCGGCCCCTCCTGTGAGTCCCCACAGCCCTCTAAACCTTCCGTCCCAGCCCTGGCACAGCCTCCGCCCTTTGTGGCACATCTGCAGGTGTCCCCGTCCCCGGCGAAGTCCTGGCAGGCAAGGTACTTGTTGCTTGCTGAATGAATGAGCAGCCTCTGGGAGGCCTTGGAGAAGACTTCCCAAAGTGCCCTGGGCATGGCCCCTGCCTCAAGGCAGCATGGGAGCACCCCACACAAGATGCAAATGGCGCTGACAGACTCTGGGAGAGACAGCACTCCTGCCTGGAGGCCAGCACCCTTCAGTCAGCTTAACCAGAGGCTTGGGAAGTCTAGTTCCATCTTTCTTTTTCTCTTCTCTAATTTCAGAGCACTTAGATGAATGTGAAGGCTTACTGACAACGTGTCTGCTTGACCTCTACGAAGAGACACGTTCATGACAACGAATCCCGCTGGGGCTCAGCCATGCTGAGATCAAGGGTATGCATCATGAAGACAGTACCTCTAACCGAGTTTGCGGTCCATACATGTCCCAGATTTTTCTTCTTCGGACATCAATCCCTCTGCCTGGATGCTGAAAAAGTTAAATTTAAAAATCCAAGGTTAAGTTTAGTACTTCATAATAAATTACAAGAACACACGAAAGCTCTGCAGGCACTGGCCCCAGCACGAAATGCAAGAGAAAAGGACCTTGGCATTCTCGGGCGGCACTTCTCAGCTGTCTGAAATAGACACCCACACCCCCGCCGCAAGGCAGGTGAGAAGGAATGCCCCGCTGATGGCCACTATGAGTCTTCAAGTGGGGACATGCGGCCGAGTGACCACAGTGGCCTTTGGTGTGGGAAAACATCCAGGGCTAGTGCCCCAGGGAGCACAGCCGGGAACACAGGCCAACTTCCTGCCCTCCGTCAAGCTCGGCTGCTTGCTCTTCTTGTCCCTTGCCCCACTCATTAGCTCTCAGAGGGCACACTTGTTATTGCAAGCCTGCAGAAGAGGAGGGGTGCACAGACACCTCCAAGCTGTCTCCAGGTACCAGCTGCCAAGCTGCTGCCTGATACGCTACCACCCCTACAACCAGCTTCCAGGTATTATGATTAGAAACTCGCTCTTTAATAGCACACTTGAAAAAGGCCATTTAACAACCATTTTAAGCTCTTCCAGGTGTAGATAAGTATGTGCAGCCCACCAGTACAATGCTGTCCAGTATAGCAGGAAGATCAGCAGATTCCAGTGGCTGCCCCCAGCAGGAAGTGGCTAAGCTTGCCACCATCTCATGGGGTAATGGCGCCTGATGCACTGGATGCATGGGCAGGGGTATGAGTCGCTGGCAGGAAGCTCTGGGCACAAGACACTGAGAGCTGACTCACCCCTGCTGACCTCACTCCCTGGGCAGGTGCCATGCTAAGCCCGAGACTTCTTTTCCTGCATCAGCCGAGCATGCAGAAAATGGATGCAAACACTAGTACCCCACCATTCCATACTGCAGACTGTGTGTACCTGACTGGCTCTCTGGGCCCAAACTGAATCTTCTCTTATTTGTTTTTATTGTTTTGTGGAGATGGGGTTTCACTATGTTGCCCAGGCTGGTCTCGAACTCCTGGGCTCAAGTGATCCCCCTGCCTCAACGTCCTAAGTGCTGGGATTGCAGGCATGAGCCCCACGCCTGGCGTGAAGCTTCTCAAGCGCAGAACCTGCCTTGCTTTTTATCTCCTTCCAGCACCTTGAGATGGTTGGTTTCATGAGAAAAATCTGACAGTAAGAAACATCCATGCTACTGAAAGCCTGCCATTTTATAGGCCCATGCTGGGGCCTTGGGGCCTACCTCGTAGGTCTAATGAGATCAGCACTTTTCCCTTGTTTTATGAGCTGTTTGTTTATCAAATTAACAGAAGTTTATAAGTCCCTGCCTACTCTGACAGCCAGCTGACTCCAAATCCAGACTGTGTCAGCAGAAACAGATGTCCGTGAACCTGTGTCTAACTTGGAGAAACTCTGGACAAGTTACCAGAGAAGGCCATGGAGCCGGGCCTTACCCCCTCGCTGCTCAGGATGTGGACCAGGAGGCCATTTCCGCATCCCAGGTCAATGAAGGACTGCCTGGCAGTTAGTCCCCGCTCAGCCCTTTCTTCTTCCCATAGAATCTAAGCAAAGAGAAGAACAAAACAAAATCAGGTGGTAACTCCCTCTACACAGGAATAATTCAGACACCGGCGGTCACAGAAAGCTGAGGTGAAAGGACACTGGAAATTATCTACTCTAAACATTCCTTCTTTATCTGAGATGGAGTCTTGCCCTGTCGCCCAGGCTGGAGTGCGATAGCATGATCTCGGCTCACTGCAACCTCCGCCTCCCAGATTTAATCAATCCTCCTGCCTCAGCCTCCCAAGTAGCTGGAACTACGGCGCGTAACACCACACCCAGCTAATTTTGTATTTTTAGTAGAGACGAGGTTTCACCATGTTAGTCAGGCTGGCCTCAAACTTCTGACCTCAAGTGATCCACTGGCCTCGGCCTCCCAAAGTGCTGGGATTACAGGCATGAGCCACCAAGCCCCGCCTACTTTAAACATTCTTATAGATAAGAAAACCAAGACTATAAAAATCAGAGGGCATGCCCAATTGTAGCTAACCAGCACGCCAGCGGAGGAAAGGGCTAGAAGGCCCTAGGCCAGGGCAGGAGGACATGTGCTCCTGAGTGCTTCCAGCGCCAGCCAGTGCCTCCACAATGACTGCTGATAGTGGACCGACAGTCCCGCCTGCAGGTCAAGTTTGAACCTGAGGTCAAGCCTCAATCCAAACTTGTTCCTACACGCATCAGAAGGACCCCATGAAGTCAAACCATTACATGCATGACCAACCTTGGCTGGCAGAACTGTGAGCACTGGAAGTCACGGATTTGGAAACTGCCCCTCACTACGGGTAGCATCTGCCTGTAGCAGCCTTCATGCCTCCCCACCCCAGACACCTGGGATCGTGCGCGCTCTTACCAGCAGGTACGCTGCAATAGCTACGTCTTCATACACAAACTTCTCAGGGTCAGTTACTTCAGGCCACACCTAAGACAGTTTCAAGCACGAATGTCAATCATTCAGTTTCCCCACCACCATTTCCCAATACTTAAGTATCCCCGTAAAGCATAAATCCACTGAGCTCATTGTGCACTAAAATAGAAAATACAAGCTCAAAGGCAAGAATTCACAACTGGTTTCTTACAATGAACGATTTACCTAGAGAAACAAGGCCTGCCAAGAACAATGAAATCCAAAGCAGATTTCACAATCAACAGAACGTACGCCAGATGTTTAGCTGAGAGAGTGGACGCAGAGGAAACACAGCTCCACTGTGCTCACTGTTCATGCAGGTAAGGGCAGTGAACAAGGAAACCAGGGCCAGCACGTGGAGCAGTGAAAGCTGTGAGCCACAGACTAGGACCAGCACTCCAGCCCTGGTCCATCCGTGGCTGCCACCGCCCCACCTGTCAGACAGGGGTGAAGTCCAAGCCTCAGCTAACAGGCAGGGTCAAGCTGCTCTCAACACTGTAAAGCACCAGCTATGCAAAAATGAACTCTCGGTGTTAAAATCAGTCACATTCAGAACTGGCATTTGCCAAAACAGTAAAACCAATGGCCAATGGTAAAAGCTGAAATTTCTGTTTCCAGCCGCAGTGGCTCAGACGACCCAGACGGACCCTCTCACTGGAAACAACTTCAAAAGCTGGAAAACATAACAAGTACCTTCCGGACAGTACTAAACAGCTAACAAGATGGTAAAGGACCACGAGGTCAGGATGTGGGAGGGAGCACAGCCTCAGTCAGCCAACCCCTGGGAGCCTCAGATGCTTCAGCAATAATGAAAGGCCACAGCTTTAAGCCTGTGACTTTGGGGGTGCTTTTGGTACAGAGCAAGAGGTGACTGGTTAAAAAATCACACAGGGCTGGGCGTGGTGGCTCCCGCCTATAATCTCAGCACTTTGGGAGGCTGAGGCAGGTGGATCACGAGGTCAAGCGGTCGAGACCATTCTGGTCAACATGGTGAAAACCCATCTCTACTAAAAATACAAAAATTAGCTGGGCGTGGTGGTGCGCACCTGTAGTCCCAGCTACTCAGCTACTCAGGAGGAGAATTGCTTGAACCCAGGGGGTGGAGGTTTCGGTGAGCCAAGATCACAACATTGCACTCCAGCGTGGGTAACAAGAGCGAAACTCCCATCTCGAAAAAAAAAAACCAAAAACACATGGAGGCCAGGCACAGTGGCTCACACCTGTAATCCCAGCACTTTGGGAGGCCAAAGTGGGCAGATCACTTGAGCCTAATAGTTTGAAAACAGCCTGGGAAATATGACAAAACTTCCCCTCTACAAAAAATACAAAAAATTAGCCAGGCATGGTGGCATGCACCTGTGGTCCCAGCTACTAGGGAGGCTGACCTGGGAGAACAGCTTGAGCCCAGGAGGTTGAGTCTGCAGTGAGCCAAGATCACTCCGCTGCACTCCAGCCTAGGTGACAGTGAGATCCTGTCTCAAAAAAAAAAAAAAAAAAAAAAACCCCAAGCCAAAACACAGAAATGACAAATTGTGGTTACTCCTAGGAGAGGGAGGAAGACGGGAACTAGAGAGAGAAAACAGCTCTGACGCTTTCCATCTTGAGCTGGGCATAAATACACTGACCTTTCTTATCACAGATTTTACATCTTAGAAAGTTTAAGCACGTGTTATCTGGAAATTATTTCCTTGTTGGAACTGCTCTTTTGTATTTTAATTTTTCATATATTTTCTTAAAATATCTTTAAGTTTATACAAAGAATTATGGTAATTTAGCCATTTTGTTCAAGGTTCCCTTACTTTTCCATTAAATATTTCCCTAGAGGGTCTCTTGAAAACAAACAACAGACAAGTAAAGATCAATCCTTTTCCCTCATGTATCTGCCTATGTTTTGCTGTGTGCACCCAAGTGTGTCAAAGCGCAGCCTGCAACAGGGAGAACAACTTCACCCGGCAGAGTTTGATTATTTTACCTCATTTAAATGAAGGGGGTGCCGGGTACAGTGGCTCACACCTCTAATCCTAGCACTTCGGGAGGCCAAGACAGGCGGATTGCCCGAGCTCAGGAGTTCAAGACCAGTCTGGGCAACTCGGTGAAACGACATCTTTACTAAAAACACAAAAAACTAGCCAGGCGTGGTGGTGTGTGCCTGCAGTGCTAGCTGCTGGAGGGGCTGAAGCTGAAGAGTCGCTTGAATCCGGGACACGGAGGTTGCAGTGAGCTGAGATCGTGCCACTTCACTCCAGCCCTTCCTTTGGGTGACAGAGCGAGACCATGCAGGGGGAAAATAACGGTAGCTATTCTTCACCAGAATTACCTTAACCATTTCCTTATACTTCTCCTTAAGCTCCTGGTAAGCCTTGCTGTACTTCATTATGGAGATGAGGGAAAGGGTGCTCTTAAAGCCACTCTTCCTGTTCTGTACACACCACCTGGCCAGCTTGGCCGGCAGCTGTTCTCCAAGCCACGTGGGTTTGGGATATACAATTCCATCTGAATGCCATCTTTCTGGACAGAAAATTAAAACAGATATGAACCTTTAAAAACAAGAGAAATATGAATAAGCACAGACATGTTCAGTTCTTATTTTAAAATTATCCATTTATTTACCAAGAGAACAGAAGCTATCTATAATTATAAAATATTACCAAAAACATGAAACGAACTAGAACTTTTTACAGAATTTTCATCTACTAGAGGAAAACATTGAAAAAGCACAAAGGATCGATCCCTCCTTCCTTGCAAACTTTGTTAAGAACATATTTACACAACTGTGAAGTCCACAGCCAGACAAATAAAGGACTCTCTCCTTCTGCTTCACGCACAAGGGGCCAGATTCTAAGTGTCCAAGGATTTTCCTAACGTTTCTATTCTTTATGCATTTTCACACAGCAACTCAAATGAGTATACTGGCTTACCAGCTAGCCACCTGCCAGAAGGCGAAGTGCTCAGCCACAGATAAAGGCCACCCTGCATTTTGCTGGCTTACCTTGCCTTCCACATGCCTTCTGCCATCAGAAGGCCCTGACGGCGGGGCTGCTGCCTGTCTTACTTGCTGCTCCACCCCCAGGCCCCAGCAGTGCCGACACATAGCAGGCACTGTTTATGGATGAATTCAGTGAATGACTGAAAAAGCTCAAAATCCTTGGGGACACTGGCAGGACAGATGCGCACACAGATAAAATACACTGTCCAGGGCTGCAACTGGGGCAGCACAGGAGGGGAGGGCATTCAGTTTGCGGGGTCAATGGGTCACTGAGAGAAAGCTATGATAAAAGTCACATTCAGCAGACATTCCTAAGAATAAGCAGAACGCAGCGGCTGGGTGAGGGGGGCAGAGCTGGAGGGCCCGACAGGCATGCTGAGGGCACGGCAGCAGCATGACCCCCGCACAGGGATAATGGCAAAATTAGTCACGTTCAGAACCGGCATTTGGCAAAAGACCAATGTTAAAAGTTGGCATTTGGCAAAATGGCCAATGTTAAAAGTTGAAATTTCTATTTCCAGCCACAGTGCCTTAGACAATCCAGATGAACCCTCTCACTGGAAACAACTTCAAAAGCTGGAAAAACAAGAAGCACCTTTGGACAGTACTAAATAGCTAACAAGATGGTAGAGGACCACAGAGGTGCCTGGCACAGGGAAGCCTGGTTTCTCCTGGTGCCTGCCCTCACCCCTCACTCTCCAACAAATGCGTGCTGGCAGGAAGGGACATTGGGGCAGGATCCCCTGACAACTCGAGGGAACCTCTGGGTGGGTCTCAAAGGGCTTTGTGCTACAGGGCCTGACACCCCTTTCAAGCTCGAAAGCTGCAAAGGTCCAGGTGAGGCCCAGCCCTGCCGCCTCCCCAGAGGCTCAGGATTGATTCAGCCCATTTCAAGGTGAGCGGACGGAAGGCCAGAAGGCAGAGTGCACACCCAGGGCCACGCTGCTGGTGGGAAACCCACTCTTCTCCCATAACCCTTGCTTTCTAGGAAGCCCAGGCTTCCAGTCGCTCAGATGTTAGCCCCAAGACTGTTTCAGAAAGTACAGGTTGGAAGTGGCGCTCAGGAAAACACCAGCTGACGAGTAATGAATGAATTCACTCCTCCTCTGACTTTTTCATTTTAAAAATACCAAATGGGGCCGGGCGTGGTGGCTCAAACCTGTAATCCCAGCACTTTGGGAGGCCAACACAGGCAGATCACCTGAGGTCAGGAGTTTGAGACCAGCCCGACCAACATGGAGAAACCCTGTTTCTTTTAAAAATACAAAATTACCCGGGCATGGTGCGCAGCCTGTAGTTACAGGTACTCAGGTGGCTGAGGCAGGAGAATCGCTTGAACCCAGGGGGGTGGAGGTTGCGGTGAGCCGAGATCGCACCACTGCATTCCAGCCTGGGCAACAAGGGCAAAAACTCCATCTCAAAAGAAAAACCCGGTGTGAATTAAATCGCATCCTTTTTGCACAGACCCAAATATCACACGGAATTGAGGCTGCTTATGAAACTGCTGCTTTATAACAAGCATCACGGACTCACTGCACAAGGAAGCGCCATCTATTCCCCATTACTAAGTCATAAAAAATAACAAAATAGACTGGGCACGGTGGCTCACGCCTGTACTCCCAGCACTTTGGGAGGCCAAGGCAGGTGGATCACTTGAGGCCAGGAGTTTGAGACCAGCCTGGCCAACAGGGTGAAACCCTGTCTCTACTAAAAATTAGCTGAGTATGGTGGTGGGTGCCTATAGTTCCAGCTACTTGGGAGACTGAGGCATGAGAATCACTTGAACGGAGGAGGCAGGGGTTATAGTGAAACGACATGGCGCCACTGCACTCCAGCCTGGGCGACAGAGCAAGACTCTGTCTCAGTAATAACAGTAATAGTAATAATAATAATAACAATAAAGGCATTTGAGTTTACTTGACTCCGGAACTAACACTGAGGGCTGCTGACCATCACAGCCACAGGGAGGGTAGAGACCAGAGACCCCAGCCGGGCTGTGACCACCCAAACTCCAGGCCAGGCGCCAACAGGAAGAGCAACGTGGCATGGGCACACGAGCTGGCAATGCATTCCTCATAACCACAACCACCTCAGAGACAGGACCTTAAGCTCTCTGGCAACCCAGAATCCTGTAGCCACCTAAAGAAACCCTCGACGGCAACCATCACACCACCGTCCAGCTCCTACCATTCGCCTCTGCTGTGACTCAGCTGAATCTGATACACATTGCTCATCTCAACCTTTAAGTTCCCCTCATCATCTTCTTCCAAAGGCAAAAACGTTACAGTTCCATTGAGGACATCTGGAAAGAAAAGGAAAAGAATGAGAAATTACAGCTGCCTCGCCACCACCTCATCAGCAGCAGTATTACAAACAGAGAGTAGTCAACCTGACGTGTTCAGTCCCGCGCTCTACCCAGCACTCTGTTCCCGACGGCACTCCAGGAGAGGAGCTTCTGCCTTTCATTCACGGGAGCCGAGAATGTGCCAGGCACACAGCAGCCATTCTCTGCAAGCATCTGCTGGGGCGCACGAGCCAGGACCTGAGGAAAGGGCCAGCCGACATGGACTCTATCGGAACCCAAGAGCTACATCAGAGAGAACAGGGGACCTCTGCTCTAGCTGAGTGTCTGCCACAGCCTGGCCAAGACCTTTGGGTGTGAGCAAGGCACAGAATCCTGCTCAACCATCAGAAGCCAGTTCAGCAAAGTGACATCACTCCAGGCCTTCCTAACAATGGCCCTATGTTGAGCGGAGCCCTCGCTGCATGAAGGGACTTCGTACTCACCTTCCCATCAAAACATAAGCAGAGTGGCATATTCCTAAGCTAAATGTACAGTATTCTACCAGTTTCTGTGGATACTTATGGTTTGGCTATATAAAGCTCCTTTTTTTTTTTATTTTTTGAGACGGAGTTTCGCTCTTGTTACCCAGGCTGGAGTGCAATGGTGCGATCTCAGCTCACCGCAACCTCCACCTCCTGGGTTCAGGCAGTTCTCCTGCCTCAGCCTCATGAGTAGCTGGGACTACAGGCGCACACCACCACGCCCAGCTAATTTTTTATATTTTTAGTAGAGACGGGGTTTCACCATGTTGACCAGGATGGTCTTGATCTCTTGACCTTGTGATCCACCCGCCTCGGCCTCCCAAAGTGCTGGGATTACAGGTGTGAGCCACCGCGCCTGGCCTATATAAAGTTCTATCTCTAAAATCAATCATGTTTACCTTTGATATTAAAAAAACAGCAAAATCTCAGTTAAAGAGGAATATATGCTTCACAAGCCAAGTATGTACAACTGTAGCTCACCTTCCACAGCAGGTGAAAGAACAAGGCCTGCCGGAGGGGAGCACAGCTGAAGGGGCTGAGTGGATTCAGACCGAGAGCAAGCAGTGTGGGGGCAAGAAAGCTCTGACAATCAGCGTCTACTGCTACAGAATCCAGGGCGGCCGGGGACAGCCTCCCTAATAATGTGACGTTTGAGCAGAGAACCCAAGGAGGTCAGGGAGTGTGCCACGGGGCACCTGGAAGAAGTGTTTCCAACACAGGAGCAGCAACTGCAAAGGCCCTGGGGCAGGAGTGTGCTCAGGAGAATGGAGTGGTGTGGACAAGGTGACAAGTGGTAGGAAGTGAAACCAAAGGGAAACAGGGCCCAACCAGGTCACAAAGGGCCTTGGTGTGACCCAAACCAAGGTCACACAGGGCCTTGCAGTTCGCGAAAGTACAGCTGTTACTGTGAGTGAGACCAGAGGGAAGAGGACTGACACAATGCATCGTTCTTTCCATGAATCACCTCACTGAAAAGCCGCAACAGGATCAGACAGGTGGCCGACGCCTGTTCTCCCAGCACTATGGAAGGCCAGGGTGGGAGGCTCACTTGAGGCCAGAAGTTAAGACCAGACTGAGCAACATAGTAAGACCTTATTTATACAAAAAATAAATCAAGTAAAATAAAACTCGCAACTTTATCATCAGTATCATTTTCAGCACCCTCTGGATCAGGGTGTCTCAACCTGGGCATCACTGGCATTTGTGGCTGCATAACTGCTGATTGTGGGGAGTTGTCCTGTGCCCTGTAGGATGCTGAGCAGAAGCCCTGGCCCAACCCACTAGATGCCAGCAGCATCCCGCCCTCCCTGACCAGTGTTGCAACCCCAAATCCGCTGTCAGTGTTGTCACTAAACAATGACACATTCCATTTTTTTAATTTTTCATTTTTGTGGGTGCATAGCAGGTGCATACATGCATGGGGTATGTGAAATGCTTTGCTACAGACATGCGACGTGAACTTATCACATCATGGAGAGTGCAGTGTCTGTCCCCTCAAACATTTGGCCTTTGTATTTAAAAATGTACAGTTATGGCCAGGCACGGTGGCTCAGGCCTGTAACTCCAGCACTTTGGGAAGCTGAGGTGGATGGATCACAAGAGGTCAGGAGTTGGAGATCAGCCTGGCCAACATGGTGAAACCCTGTCTCTACTTAAAATACAAAAATTAGTTGGCTTTGGTGGCGCATGCCTGTAACCCCAGCTACCTGGGAGGCTGAGTAGGAGCATTGCTTGAACCCAGGAGGTAGAGGTTGTAGTGAGCTGAGATAGCGCCACTGCACTCCAGCCTGGGCCCCAGAGCGAGATTCCATCTCAAAAAAAAAAGTACAATTAAGTTACTATTGACTCTAACCCCCCACTGGACTATCACATAGTAGGTCTTTTCCATATTCTATTTTTCCTGTACACTGTAACCATCCCGCCTCGCCCCAACCCTCCCGCCTCGCCCCAACCCTCCCATCCCCTTCCCAGCCTCTGGTGACCATCCTTCCACTCTCTATGTCCATGAATTCCATTGTTTTGATTTTTAGACCCCCCAAATAAGTGAAAATGTGATGTTTGAATGACAAACTGCTGAGTCAGAACCCAAAACTGTCCCGCTTGAACCCTCTGTTCTAGGTGAGAAAAGCAGGCGTTAAGAATATGAAGTCGTCTGTCTCAAGTCCATGCAGCCTCAAACTGAAGGCTCCTGCCTGACTGAAGAGGTCCAGTTCTTAACCACTGTGTCGTCCTGTCGCCTGCTACCAACATCTAAGATCTCTTAGTCGTGTTACCCTTTCTTCCCTTTTTTTCTTGTAGGGAGGGAGTTGAGTCTCGCTCTGTCGCTGGAATGCAGTGGCGTGATCTCAGCTCACCGTAACCTCTGGCCACCTTGGCATCAGCCTCCTGAGTAGGTGGGATTACAGGTGCCCGCCACTACACCTGGCCAATTTTTGTATTTTTAGTAGAGACGGTGTTTCACTATGTTGGCCCGGCTGGTCTCGAACAGTCACATTACTCTTAAGACCTTCAGAGCTTACCCAGAATAGGGCCACGAAATACACAGGAGTTGCCAGAGCATCTCCACTTCACACCAACAGCAGGTAGCATTCATTAGGTACTTATCGGGTGCCAGGAATTACTCTAAGCAATTGACAATATATTAATTCCATTTAACTCTTCCAGTGACTCTAAGAGATTTTATTATTAACCTATTTTACAAATGAAGACACTGAGACACGGAGAGGCTCTATAACCTGCCCACAGCCACACAGCTTATCACTGGCAAGACCAAAATTCAAACCCAGGCTGTCTATACTCCATGGAGGACATAAGTCTTCTGGTGAGCCTTCCTGGAGGGAGCTGAATATAGAAAGCAATCCTGAAAAAGCACTCCTTATTGACAGGGAACACTGCCTCCCTGAGAGGAAGAAAGGAAAAATTCAGTCCTGCCCCTCTCTTCAGCTAAGTCTACACATGAAGACCTCACGGGCACTGCTTCTCCGAGCCTCTCAGCCCAGTGGATGGACACTGTAAAATGGTTAAGATTAGAACACAGTTGATAAGAGCTGGAAGAACTCCTAAACTAGACTGGACTGGCAGGGTCAGAGAGATCCCCTGGAGGAAGGGACACCCAGAGCCTTACAAAGGCACAGAGGCAGACAGTACTGGGAGCTGTCAGAGGGGACCATGTACCTACCAGCAACTGCTGCCTGCGGTAGGCACCAGAGCCTCCCGAAAGTGTCCATGCCCTAATCCCCAGGACTTGAGAATATACTGCATTATGTGGCAAAACGGACACTTTGCAAACATGATTATGGTTATAGGTCTCAAGAGGGAAGAGTACTCTGGATTACCCGGGTGGGCCCAGTCTAACTCCACGGGTCATGAATAGCAGAGAATTTTCTCCAGCTGGAGGCAAAGGAGAAGCAGCAGGAGAGGAAGACAGAGAGATTCTAAGTGTGAGAAGGATTCAACCCCATTGCTGGCTCTGAGATGTCAGAAGCTGCATGGAAGAACCAGAGAGAGGCCTCTAGGAACTGACAGCCAGCAAGGGAAAGAGGACCCCAGGCCTACACAAAAAATTGGATTCTACCAACAAGGCGAATGAGCCTGGGAACAGATTCCTTCCCAGAACCTCCAGGTAAGAGCCCAGCCAGCAGGCTCTTTGATTTTGGCCTTGTGAGAGAGACGCAGAGAAACCAGCAGAGCCAACAGGGATTCCTGACCTACAGAATTGAGGGAGATAATTAACTTTGTGTTGTGACCGTTAAATTTGCAGTGGCAATAGAAAACACAGACTGCTGAAGAAAGTTTGAGGAAAGAAGTGGCTGAGGCTGAAATGTCAATGTCATGGGCGGTAAAAATAAATGCCAGAGATTTAACAAATACTGAGAACTAGTAGGTTCCCATCCAGCCAGTCTCTATGCTCTTCCACAGCGACCTGTCTCAGCATAAACAGCTCCCTTTACACCTACAGCCGGACCTGCCAAACTCCTAGTTATCATGCAATAACCAGCTGGTCCTTCACTGTCTCTCTGAAGCCTTCCAGACACCACCCCAATCAATTATCCCATCTTCTACTAATGACACAGATTTCTACGCGCCCACTCAACACACACACACCTAACAACCTCCCTAGGACATCGCACAGGAACGGGCATAAGAGGTACCCTTAGGACCTTTTCATTGACCCCGCGGTTCCATGAATGCTTTTTAATCTGATCGCATCCGTCTACTATGAAAACACTCTGACCTTGCACAACCATTTCCCTCCTGGGAGCTGTAATCGGGCACTGAGGGCCAGTTTTCGGGATGACGGTTCTGAGAACCACGTCGAGCTCACGCTGCGCCTCTGGCTGCGATCCCGCCCCGGAGCAGGTGAGGAAGGACAGCAGCTTCGAATTGCCACGGGCGAGACTTCGGGAGAAATCGTCCCAGAGCGAATCCAGATCCGCGGCGGGGAAGTCGCCCTCCTCTCCTTCAATATGGCCGGGGTGCCCGGGGTCTCGCAAGGGCGCTGAGGCGGCTTCCCTCTGTGCCTCCTCTTGCTGGCACTGGCCCTGGGCCTCCTCACTTTCGCAACACGCCGTGCCCTGCTTGGGTCCTGATGGCGGCCTGGGGCCCGGGCCCTCTCCGGGGGAACCTTGGCCGGGTCCCGGACCCCGCTCCTTCTGCTCCGGGCCTGCGCTCGTCCCCTGGCCGCAGGCCTCAGCGCTGGGCAGGGTGGCGCTCCGGCGGGCATCCAGGCGGGCGCCGCACAGCCGTTTGTTGGCCACATGCGGCCTTTCCAGCCACACCTCCACCGCAGCCCAGAAGCCCCGTGGGAGCAGCGCGCCTGGGTCGCTGACCGCGACCCGGCCCACCTCCGCCATGGCAATCGCCAAGTGTAGAGCCCCGGCAGCGGCGCGCCGAGATGATGCAGCCCTGTGGCGCGGTGCGTTGACGTCATGGGGCGGGGTGCTGGGACCGGAAATGAGAGTGGCTTGAGGGGACCTCCTTTCCTGCTTTTGGTTTCCCTGGCAGGGGTTCGACTTGAGTCTGTGGATGAGGAGTTTGACATTTGTTTTGTTCCCTGGGGATCCACCCAGGGGCATTGCTGCCTGATAGTAACTTGATCTGAACTGTTTTTGTTTGTTTGTTTGTTTTGTTTTTTTGAGAAGGAGTTTCGCTCTTGTTACCCAGGCTGGAGTGCAATGGCGCGATCTCGGCTCACCGCAACCTCCGCCTCCTGGGTTCAGGCAATTCTCCTGCCTCAGCCTCCTGAGTAGCTGGGATTACAGGCGCGCGCCACCATGCCCAGCTAATTTTTTGTATTTTTAGTAGAGACGGGGTTTCACCATGTTGACCAGGATGGTCTCGATCTGTTGACCTCGTGATCCACCCGCCACGGCCTCCCAAAGTGCTGGGATTACATTTTTTTTGCGGGGGGGGGGGACGGAGTTTCGCTGCTGTTACCCAGGCTGGAGTGCAATGGCGCGATCTCGGCTCACCGCAACCTCCGCCTCCTGGATTCAGGCAATTCTCCTGCCTCAGCCTCCTGAGTAGCTGGGATTACAGGCACGCGCCACCATGCCCAGCTAATTTTTTGTATTTTTAGTAGAGACGGGGTTTCACCATGTTGACCAGGATGGTCTCGATCTCTTGACCTCGTGATCCACCCGCCTTGGCCTCCCAAAGTGCGATCTGAACTGTTTTGAGAGAATTCTGGAGGTGGTATGTTTATAGACTCTAACAGCCAGCAGGTGTGTCTGGAACCCGTTGTCCTCAGTACTGATTGTTAGGTTTCCAAGTCCAAGCCTGGCCGTCTTAGCCTTGGTGACCTGCACGTACACCTCTGGATGGTCCCCAGGAGCCAGAAAGGCTGGAGTAACCACAAGTAACCCCGTGGCTACAGAGAGAAGTGAAAACTTGTTCCTGCCTCAAGTAATCGCTCTGTAACCTGCACCCATGGTTCCTGTTCAGCTTTGCAAAAATTTCCTCCGGCACACTGGGTTTCTCAAGACTCCCACCCCTGTAACTATGTAATCTACCGCCCTGTCCCCATTTATTACAAACAGGCATGATCATAAGGGTGGGGACTGCAACCGATACTCCCCAACCTTATGATCATGCCTATTTGTAATAAATGACCCCTACCCTTGTGATCCTGCATCCCCTGACGCCCTTCCCCTCCCCTAGATAGATAACCACCTTTAGCCCAACCTATATAACCAATCACCTCTCCTCCCTTGGCCTAACTCCTTTCTTGGACTTGGCAGGCTTGCACCCAAGTGCGAAGTGAACGGCCTTGTTGCCCACACAGAGCCCGCCTGGTGGTCTGTTTACGTGAGGGACACTCCAGACACTGATTACTGGTGACAGTCAGGGAGCCGACGTTTGTGAAAGTTCAACATGGGTCCTCTTATGAAAGCCCACTTTTCTCCACTTGGGTTCTGGTTTGCTTTTAGTGGGAGCCTTACAGCCAGTGCCTTCCTAAGTCGGAGCACAGCCATGACTGCTTCATAAGAATAACGTAATGTTATCCCATGAGGTATGAAGGTCACCTGGCACCTGGCACCTGCATGTCCCCAGGAGGAACAGAGAAGGTTGGATCCTGCCAATTTAGTCCAACATCATCAGCAGCTGGTCTGCAGAATCTCTAGTGAAATCCCAAAACCTCCAATATTCTTAATTATTTTTGTACACTAATCCCTCAACTGGGATTTTGCCATTCCCTAATGGATCTCTGTCAGAGTCAGAGAAGTGAAAACTAACTCAAATCATGTGATTTATTAGAGAGAAGAGCACAGACCAAATATCGGTGGAATTAAGTAAAAGGTAAATGAGCTATATCCTCACAGACACACCTGCTCGCCTTAGTGCTTGATCACATACAGTAATTGCTTTTTCGGCTGTCCGAGTTAGTTTTCTCAGGCTTCCATAACAAATTACCATAAACCTGGTGGCTTAACACAGCACACACGGATTCTCTCACAGTCCTGAAGGCTCTGAGAATCCATCCTCTCCCCTAGTTTGCGTGGTTGCCAGCAATCATTGGCATTCCTTGACCTGTGCCTCCAGCACTTCAGTTTCTGCCTGCGTGGTTACGTGGTGGTGTTTCTCTGAATCTCTTTTCCTCTTCTAATAAGGGCACCATTCACGGTGGATTAGGGACAACCCTACTCCAATATGACCTCATTTTAACTTTATTACATCTGCAGAGGCCCCTTAACAAATAAGGTCACAGGTGCCAGGGGTAAGCACCTCAACATATCTTTTAGGGACACAGTTCAGCCCCAACACTGGCCAAAGGTATTTAGCCTGGTTAGGGCAGCCAAAGGGCAAAGAATTACGACTCTTCCTAAGCTGCCCACATGTGTGGGGACCTGGGCTAAGCTGAGGGTGCAGAGCTAAACGAGCCCCTGCCCTTGAGAAGCGTTCAGGCCGGCAATAGAGGCAGAAGGATAGACAAGACAATGACTGTGGAATGGGAAATGTTGCAACAGTCAATGTTATAGAGCAACAGGCCTGGTCTTCGACATGCGTAGAAGGAAATACTGTGGCAGTGGCTCTTGAGTAAAGGAATCACTGTGAGCTGACTGGTTAGGAGTCAGGAGGCGATGCTCAAGTCCGCCTCTGGAGCTGGCTGGTTAGGGGTCAGGAGGCAATGTTCAAGTCCGCCTCTGGAGCTGGCTGGTTAGGGGTCAGGAGGCGATGCTCAAGTCCGCCTCTGGAGCTGGCTGGTTAGGGGTCGGGAGGCGATGCTCAAGTCCGCCTCTGGAGCTGGGGCTGGGGCAGCTTTTATATACAGAGGGTAATGAGGCAGGATCTGATTGGATCTTGCAATGAGGTGATTTGGGGCTTGCTTCTTAATTTGGTCCCTGTCTCTAGATCTGGATGCTTTGGTTCTGCCTGTGTTGGCTTTTTAGTTCCTGTTGGCCAAAGGTTTACAAACGCAGCACACTTAGTTCATCTGTGCGCGCTCAGGTTATGTGACCTGCAACCTGGGAGTTCACGGCCACTGAAACACAACTTGCCGTTTTATTACACGTCGAACCGACTGGGCGTGCTCTCCAGCTACAGAGCACAAACAGGGTTCGGAGGTCACACGGAGAGAGGCGGGGTGTTCTCTAAAGCTGTCCGTCTCTAAAGGAAGGTGTTGTTGAGAGAGGACCCACTGCAACTGAGTTAAAGGGAACCAACTTTTGAAGATCCTTGGCGGGAGTCCTGAGCTCAGAAGATCTGGCTGCCCAAATAAGGGACACAAAATAAAACAAAGTAGCTCCCTAGCTTATAGTGTCATGGGAAATTAGGAGACCAGAGAGTCGGATGGATAGAACAGGAGGATTTATTAAGGTGTGCACCAGCTCAGTGGACCCACATCCAAAGACTGAGCACTGAACTAAGACCAAGCTTAACTTTCATACGTGAAAGGCAGGAGCAGAACAAAGGCAGTTTATCAAAAATGACCGGTTCACAACTTATGCTTACGCATGACTTGTGCTACGTGGCGCAGATGGCCACTGTCTTTCCCTTGCACGGCTTACCCTGCGTGCTTCGCTATGGGGAAGCTGCAATCCAGGCCTGCTGACATGTCACAGTGACCCGTGTTGCTCAGGTGGAAACCAGTAACTGTCATTTGTCAGCTATAGAGAGCAAGAACACGTGAATTTCTAAACTTACAAAACTTGCAAACAGGATACAGTTTCTCGGGGAGGGGAGGAGTCAGGGAAGGTTTACTCACACTGCAGAAAAGAAGAGAAATTCGTTATTCTGCGCTCATTTTCTGCTTGTATAGCAGTTTGTTCCTGGTAGAATAAAGTCCTTTCTTGATTCTCTCTGCAAAGGTCATCACAGAGGTAAACCAGCAAGTGAGGCAGAACCCAATCAATTTTGAGATTTATTTTGCCAATGTTGAGGTCAGTTAGTGGAACTTTCCCGACCCGTCCCCACCCCTGTGTACAGCTCTACTTTTTTTTTTTTTGAGAGGAAGTTTTGCGCTTGTTACCCAGACTGGAGTGCAATGGCGCGATCTCAGCTCACCGCAACCTCCACCTCCTGGGTTCAGGCAATTCTCCTGCCTCAGCCTCCTGAGTAGCTGGGATTACAGGCACGCGCCACCATGCCCAGCTAATTTTTTGTATTTGTAGTAGAAACGGGGTTTCACCATGTTGACCAGGATGGTCTCGATCTCCTGACCTCGTGATCCACCCACCTCGGCCTCCCATAGTGCTGGGATTACAGGTGTGAGCCACCGCGCCCGGCCACAGCTCTACTTCTTGCTGTTTCCCCTACCCAGTCACCAAACCGGAAACCTGCAGCTTCTGCATATTTATGAGCTCCTCCACTGCTCATGTTTTTCCTGGGCTGTTGTTTTACCCTTCCTCCTGGATTTCCCTGCCTCTGGTGTCACAGTCTGATCTGTCCCATACACTGCCCTTGGTGATTGACAGAAGGAAATCTGGTCTTGTCTCTTCTGCTTAAAATCTTCAGTAGCTTTTACTCCGGTAGCAGCACATCTGGCTTCCTTAGCGAGACATGCATAGACACACATACCACCACTCCCCCAACCCCTGAAACACACACATTCCGGGACTCTCTGGGTTTCCATAGCACTCCAGGCATTGCTCCACATCATGAAAGGATATGTTTTCATAACTGCCTCCCACTAAACTGAGCTCTTTAAGGAGTAGTCCCTGTCTCACTCCAGATACCCAGTGTAGTGACCTCACGTGTTATGCTTTCTGGACTGACATAAACTGGAGGGTGTCTACTCTGCTTGTTATATAATCACAGCTATGTAGCCATCACCTGGGTCAGAGCCACGGTTGTTTGCAAGAGGTGTAACTACCCTGCTGATGCTTTGCATATGGCTCGTGGCCAAAGAGAGAGAGTGAAGTTTCTGACCCTGTAAGAGAGAGCCAGCCTTGCAGGCCAGGGAATGCAGCGTCAGGCGTGGGAGCTG